GGGAGCGTGAGTAAGAATGAGCCATCATAGTCCTAACCTGGGTAATTCTCATTTTTCTTTCACAACTGTGAATGGACTTTTGGGCCAGCTGTTTAACGCCCACTCAGTCACACATTAATGCACAATGTCACAAACCACAACAGCAGCTCTCCTCTCTGCAGAGCTTAGAAAGTCAGGGGGATTTGACAAGTTGAGTTTCTTCGAAAAATAAATATTTTTTTAAGTTAAAAATGAAAGACAAATGAATTCTGAGTAGAAGGAGATGGATTCACACCACCGTCTGCAGGCCTATGTTTCTGCTATTAGCGTCTAACCGGCGAATTTTATCAGGGCGTGAGATGACTACATGCGTCCAATTTTATTTATTTATATATATTTATACTTATTTATTCATAGTTTTTATTTATTTATTCATTCATTTGTTTGATAATTAATTTATCCTTGTGGTTTGCTATTCTTACAATGTAGGATTTAAAGTGACAGTCTGGATTTTCAGCATTTAAATAAGAGCATTTAAAGAAAAATACAAGTTTGAGTTTTAATATTCACCATTAAACAATTTGACTGCCTTTGATACAGAGGAATTATGTAATTGCTTTCATATATATTGCTCCTATAAGGAAATGTGCTATTGTTAACTAAATATTAAGCTTTTGAATTTTTTTTTAAGCAGTGTAAAAGAGTCTGGATCATTCAGAGCTATGTTGACATGGGTGTTTTTTCATAAAATTAAATGATAAATACATTATGAAACCATCGTATTGAGAAAGTAATGTGTGGATTTATATCATACAGGGATTTAATCTAAAGTGGTTCTGTAAAAGCATTTGAAAATTGGATAAATAAAACAGTTGACATAAAGCTTTAAAGTTAATATAGCTTTCATCTATAGGAATGAAAAAGCTTTTTAAAATCAGGTTCACATAAAAAAATGTACATAAGCCCACAATGGGTTTGAATTTGATAGATTTTTGAGTTCCTAAGGTTTTATTTGAGTTTTTTTCCATGTGAAAAACCAGACAACATAGACAAGACGCAAGTTTGAAAATAAAATCTGCATGGGACACAGAGCGACAGAAAGGAAATGCTGTGTTTCAGACTGTTTTAATTATTATTTTTTTAAGGATGTCCCTATGGAGGAGCTCTATAGGAATGATCCCTGTGATGTCAAAGAGAACAACAAGCAAAACTGCACTACGAGCCTAACCCTGATTTACCTATATCGTCAGCCTCAATCAGCCTCACTGTGAACTGCATAGCAAATATGCATTAATTGTATTCAATCTACACAATATTGCAAAAATGAGCAATCTCCTGTCCAGGATTGATGCTGAGAAACTAGTCCATGCATTTGTTACTTCAAGGCTGGACTATTGTAATTCTTTACTATCAGGAAGTCCACAAACTGTAGTTAAAAGCCTTCAGCTGATCCAAAATGCTGCAGCCAGAGTTCTGATGAAAATTAAAAAGAGAGATCATATCTCTCCTATCCTGGCTTCTCTTCATTGGCTTCCTGTTAAATCCAGAATAGAATTTAAAATCCTCCTTCTCACATATAAAGCCTTAAATGGCCAAGCTCCATCTGATATCAGAGATCTGATTGTTCCTTATGTTCCTAACAGAGCACTTCGCTCTCAATCTTTTTCTAATAGCTGTGACACCATCTAGATGAGAGAAATATCAGCTGTGCTGCTGCCATCAAGATCCGCTTGTTTTTCAGTGTAGTCCTGTTTCTCTGACTGACTCTCTGGATGTGTTCATCCTCTGACATGGGAGCTGGCTCAGAGGTCCTCTGCCTGGCTGTGTGTTTCCTGGACGGGGCCGCCTTTTACAGCTGCTTTTTGTGTCTCTGCTTCTGTCTCCTTGAACCCCAGTCAGCCTCAGCAGATGGCCGCTCACACTGAGCCTGGTTCTGCTGGAGGTTTCTTCCTGTTCAAAGGGAGTTTTTCCTCTCTACTGTCGCTACAAACATGCTTAGTGTGAGGGATTGCTGAAGAGTCGATGCAATCAACTGGTTTTCCTTAGATAGAAAACTTTGAATCAATTTGACTGGATGATCTGGTGAATTATAAAGTACCTTGAGATGACGTGTTGTGAATTGGTGCTATAGAAATAAGCTGAATTGAATCCAATGGAATAAGACCATTTACAGTGTCTCAGCATGGTGACGAAGTCTCTGTATCTTCAAGCGCTTTAAGTTTTCAACACACTTTTACTGTACAATCTGCTTGTGCTCCTTGGAGCTCCTGTGGGCTTCACACTGCAGTGGATTGGAGTGGGCAAGTTTGCTGCACAGTGGAGCCGGACAAATTAGGGTAAACTGATCCTTTTTACATGTGGTCCTGAACTGACTACACTAGGGACAACAAGCATGATGGTCTGACATTCACATGCAAATAAAGCAACCTGTTATAAAGAATAACAGCCAAACGTTCAGTTCTGATCAGTTGGTCAAACAGCCAGCATTCGCAACGAGGAGAATTAAGATAAACTGGCTTAATATTCCTTTCTCAGCTTTACAAAGAGGTTTAACCAAGACACTTTCTTTCCCTGCCAGAAAAAACAGAAGCTGGCCCAGCTGCTGCAAGGAGAAGCCCTTTTATCGTGTTGCCAACTCCGTCTTGCAGCTGTTCGGCCCTAGATGTGGCCAAAAGCATTCTTCCTCTAACGCCTGGTCCAAGAAGCCAAGTCTGGCAACAACATCCGGACCTGCTAACTCACTGCGCCAGTGGATGTGCTGCTAGTCCTGCATGAGGTGCCCATTACAGGATGGCACATGTATAGAAATTTAGTTTAGATCAGTGAGGGTTTTCGTGTTTTTGTGTGTTGGACTAAACTATAAAAGTAAGTCACACTGCAGTGGTGACCTGTGACCTGGCCACTAATAATAATAATACATTTAATTTATACTGCACTTTCCATCAAAAGATCTCAAAGTGCTACCGGTAAAAAGAGAAAAAACCTTGAAAAAAACCTTTTAAGGGGTACAAAAAGGCAAGGCAAGGCAAGGCAAATTTATTTGTTTAGCACAATTCAGTACAAAGACAATGCAAAGTGCTTTACATGATTAAAATACAGGAAGATAAAACAGAATCAAAGCAAGTAGGAAAAAAATAAATAAATTAAATAATATAAAAAATGCAGAAAAAAAAGAACATTAAAAACAGTTGGAATAAAGAAAATATGTTTTATGTTTTAAAATAAATGTATTAAAAACACTCAGTGGATTGAGGAGCCCTCAAAGTGTCACGGAGGGAATTCCACAGATGTGGGGCAGAAGCACAAAATACTCTATCTCCCATTTTCCTGCGTCTGGTTGTGGGAATGTGGATCAGGTTTGAATGAGTGGAGCGAAGGGAGCGTGTTGTGTTCTGTGGATTGATAAGTTCTTTCAGGTCTGTTGTGACAATAGCAGTGGCAACCACATTTCTAAGTCTATTCATCCGTAGTGCGCCCACTGATGATTTAAACACATATATAATTTGTCAATTACACCCTTCAAAGCCTGTTGTTGCAAATATGCAACAAACTATTTGAATTATTCAAAAAGCCAAATCCAATGCCAGTTATTGCAAATTCAAACCTAGAAACCTTTGGAAACACTTGTTTCTGGTACAACTGGTCAGTTTATGCTATTATAAACCCTTTAATCTGTTGTTACAAACTTGCAACCCACTTTAATTTCTGACTTTTTTTGTGATATTCAAAGTAAAAATCTTATATTGATAACTACTTAAAGGCAAATAAAAACATACACTTTATTAATTTATCAAAAAATAAAAGTTAAATCACTCCCAGAGGTATTTTAGATATAATTAATGATTAAAAAAAATATTGATTTCAAATTTTCTAAATCATTTTTTGACAAATTCTTTATCAAAATAATGTTTTAACTACCTCTTATGGTGTGGGATGGGAATTTTAAACACATACCAATTGCTCTGTTTTAATAATTAATTTGACTTTGATTATTTTTATTAGGAGTTTGATTATTTCAGTCAATAAATGCTTATATTTTGAAAAGAGTTAAAAAAAATTGTGCTTATTATCAGTATTACTTTTGTAAATTTCCATGTATTTCAGTGGCAGCTTACGTTATATATGCTATATATATATATATATATACCGGTATATATATAATCCAAATTGAATTTTGTCATGGTTCTCACCTTTTGGGACTATGACTTTTTAGTTTTCAGTTATTCTGTGTTGATCTTTAGTTTATTTTCCATTATATTGAAGCAGTCTTTAGTTACTCTTTTTTGACCCCTTGTGCTTGTTTCCCCTTGGTTTCCTTCTAGTTAGTTCCACTCACACCTCCTCCTTATTCAGCTCATCGGTCCATCCTTTGTTCTGTTCCCCTTATATACACCACCTGCTGTTTTGTTGGTCCCTTGTCTCTGATTTTCCACGTGAGTTTTTCCCTGATGCTTTCTAGATTTTTGGTTATTGGTATTTTGGATTTTTTCGTTGTCTTCCCCTGTTTTTCCAAATCTACAAAAATCACCTCTGCCTCCTGGTCTCTGCATTTGGGTCCTCAACCAACCTCCATACAATTCTTGACAAATTTAAAGATGTGTATAAAGTTCAGAGTTTTACAATTATTGTGACGTTGACATTCCGTTTTTAAAATATAACTAATTGAAATTTGATTTTGATCTACTCAAATGATCATTCATTTTTATATCTACCTTTTCCAGCTAATTTAATTTTATATAAAGTATGATGACAGATCCATAAACAAGGGTGTGAAAATAGCATAGAGGTGAATGTTTGAACATTTGTCCCTCCTTATAGCTTGCCAGCTAGTTGGTAGCGCAGCTGTTCAGGCAGCATTCAAAGTTCTGTTGCACACGCTGAGTGTGACTGTATAAACACAAAGCAACCATGGCTGCACAGCTCACTGATGGACTTTATGGGCTGTCACTTAAGGCAGCGCCTCCAGGCAGGCTGAAAAATGCAGGCAGTTTGAAAAGATGTGAAATAGTTTCCGTGCTCACATGCAGGTTGGAACTCCCCGCAGGACTCCGGCATGTTGGGCTATAAGCTATGTCCCAGCTGGGAATCTGGTGTTTGCTTTGGTTCCGGGTGGGTTGCTCACTGGGTTTGTGGGTTAGGGATTTTCAGGCCAGTAGCCCCAAACACAAGACTCGACATAACTTGTGTGTTTTTAAAAGGAAGCTCTGTGGCTGCTCTCAACTCCCTGGTGTTCTTTAAAAGAATGACAATTATGAAAAGTCAGGCTGGTTCTTTGGAAGGATTTCTGGGGTAAAAACAATTTGAAATTTACTGAAATACATGCGGTTGGTGTTGCTTTCAGATGCTCCCACTCATTCAGCGTCAGTGAAAAGTATCTCCAATCAGACAGACATCAGAAACACTTGTCTGATGTGAGCAACTCTAAGCTAGCATCAGAAGAGTGAAGTTTAGAAGGAGACAAAAATGTTCTGGCTTGGTGACTCATTTCTGATAACCTATGTTTTGTGGTTTACCTGCGTCTCTACCCCCCACCTGTATCTTTTTGATTTCTCTGGATCTTACTCCTCTGATTTCTCCTATTTGACTGATGTGATCTCTGTATGCACGATGTATTGGTTTGCCCTACTTTCATGCAATCAGTTCCAGTTAAATCATCCAGATAACCAACATTACTGTTAAAATTTTAACACCATTTGTGATAAACTAAACTGATAAATCCAGTTAGTCCCTCTGGTTTTGTTCTAGTTCAGCTGTAAATAATTTTGATTTTGTGGCTTCAAGCAAGCAAAAACATTTATAGCAACACGGTATTAATGTATCAGTAAAAAATGTCCAGATAGTTTACCTTATCTTTGCTAAAAAAAAAACAGTAATAAATTTACTTCCTTCCCACAAACCAAACTGATTTCTGTTTTGATAGATGACACGTCATCTCAAGGCTCTTTCCAGTTCACCAGATCATCCAGTCAGATTGATTCAAAGTTTTCTATCTAAGGAACACCAGTTGATTGCCTCTTCAGCAATCCCTCACACTAAGCATGCTTGCAGCGACAGTGGAGAGGAAAAACTCCCTTTAAACAGGAAGAAACCTCCAGCAGAACCAGGCTCAGTGTGAGCGGCCATCTGCT